GAGAGAGAGAGAGAGGAGAAGCAGAAAGTAGTGTGTTGGTCTAGAATGACTGGCACACACCTCTTATTTGTATTAATAAAGTGAACTAATTACAATAATGCCCATGCACAATGAAATAGGACATATAAGTCCAAAACAAAAATAAAAGATATGTATACCCATCAAATATAATAAGGGATTGTCTACAAAGAGACCATTTATCTTTTGTACATGGAGGTCACCATCATTCCCACCCATTAGATATCAAATTGGATGGCTTGGGTTGAGTCACGAAGTCAAAGAATTTTTTTTTTAGAACTTTGTGTCTATTCAATGACACTTCCAACTACCCATTTTGATATTTAAAGGACAATAGTGATTGTGACCTCAATGTACGAAAGATAAATGGTCTCTTTGTATACAATCCCATATAACAATACTTAACTATTTCCAACACTATTGACCTCCAAACTATTTCCTAAACTAACGGAAAACCTAAAACACCTTAATTAAGCCTAAAAATAAACGAAAAACAGTCGTAAAGCAGTGGATAATACTATAAGCAAGTTGCTGGTCAGATTTTGAAAACCTAAAATCAGAAAAACTCAATTTCTATACAACTAAATTTATAGACCCATACCAAAACAAAATCCAAAAAATCAGAAAGATCCCGAATTGCGTACATATTAATAGACAACTCTTACATATTAATACTAAATTTTAACACATCCAGATTCTTTCATGGTCGCTTACTGAGGTCACTATGACATCTTTGTGGTGTGTGTCATAAGTGCAGGCATCCAGTTTTCTCCCAGCTACTCTAGTCTAAGTCTTCATCTTCTCTTCTTTGAGCTTTTAAATTCAAATCTACATCATGGATGATCAGTGATCTGGTCACATCTGAGGTGGCACTAGTCCATGCAATTAATAATCACCTCAAATCCAGGCAGGAACCTGCCGAGTACTACCATGCTAACAACATACGCCTGAGGTAAGTATTTCTAATGTTTCTGACCTTTCATGCAAGAAGTAAAACGCCCATGTCATCAACATGCTTATCACCATAATAAGTGAGTATAAGTGGAATTATTATAAATTAATTTTCACTACGTAAAATGGCCCACGTCATCCACAGCAGAAGTGGAGTTATTACAAAACAATTCCATATTTTAGCACACGTTCTCCACATGCATAGCACCATAATGAGTTCATGTCTCCACTTAAACAAGCAAGCTTCAATTTACATATCAATGGCATGAAGGTTACACTGAGAACTTTTGTTCAGAATAGAGAAAGCCATTCATGCATGCAAGGATATTGTAGGTATAGAGTAACAATTTACTTAATGCAAGCGTAGATGACTGTCAGAAAAGACTGCCGACTTATCATGTGTTTCAAGTCTTGTTCAAGTTCTTCAACAAAGTTTTGAGGAGGCTTTCGAACTAAAGGAAGAGCTGTATCAATTATGAAGATTATACTCTGAAGCAATTGAGCTACTGCTTGATTGTTCACCTATTCATGAGGAGCATGTTAGCATCACAGAAATGAGGACCATGAATGTGAAATATTAAAAAACAAATTGTGCAAAAACACTTCTCCAAGCAAATGCCAGTAAAGCATATTGATGCATGAGAACTTGCAACAAATAAAGAGTCATTGTCACATATATAACAGGAAATACATGCTAAAAAAGCGACATAAATGGAACCAAGTTTCCAACATGGGCAGGAGAGAAGAAGAAGCACACCAATTCAAATAGAAGGCAATGACATTAACAACATATCTTTTGATTTTTTGACACACTATTATTTCAAGAGATTTCTAAGGCAACGGAAATCTATTGCATGACACTGACATCAGTAAGCATGCAGAACAACATGACACAAAGTGTAACCAGATTCATCACTAAAAGCATCATATTCAATGGTTTCTCAAAAAATAAACACAATCGAAGTTCCACTACCCTACAATGTCATCTGGCATTTAATGCCCAATTCATCTCATAACTTAACTAGCACTTCGGAAAAAAATGTGGTCAAACTCAATTTAATAATTCCACCACAAATAAACTCTTCCCTTTGTAACAATCAACTTAATACATAGCAGTACAACGACAGTAAATCCACCTGAGATTTTCATCATTAGTACTGGCATACTCAGTACCCAACCCCCACCCCAACCCCAAAACTGTCTCCCAAAAAAACACAAAAAAACAAAAACTCCACTTTTCCCGCACCCTATTTGTTTCCTGAAATAGTGACCGATATGTATCAATAATGTCCTCTATTTACAAAATTACCCACAAGAGACAGGTCTTACATGGCAACCCACAGTCGGGTGCTCTACAAATATGGAAGAAGAAACATAAGAGGAAAAAGGGATGTAATCCTTCCTGGTTCACCTAATCAACTCCTCTTCTACCCCAACTCATTCTATTTCTACCTTTGATGCAGCGCACCTAGAGCAACTTGACGTACCCCTTTATGTTAATAATATGTCCTATTTACTTTGCATAACGACATGACAACTATCACAAATGAGTAGACCTTCTGCAACACATGTTGAATTCATGTTTACTTGAGGTTATCATTCATTGAGATAGTGAACATAGATAAACATCCTAACATAGATAAACATCCTAAGCAGACGAGAAAAATGTATCTGCAAACTACAGATTTGTATCTTGGAGTTGCAAAGAGACGACCACAGGGCTTCTTTTTTATTTTTTAAAATTTTGAGGAAGACTCTAAAGGTTCTTTTTTTAATAACTGTTAACTGTTGTATTGATATGAAGAAAGAGATACAAGATTATACCAGGAGAATCTAAGTGAGACTCCTGGTAAAAAAGATTTGGTCAAAGGACCGTAAACAAAATGGGGTTATAGAATTATCCCCTTACATCGTATATGGCACATGTACAAGAGATATACAAAAGAGAGAGGAAGACAAAGGCAAAATCAGGCTAAGGGGGAAAGCCAGTTGTGGGAGCCGAAGATTAGGAGAACCCAAGCAGCAAGCAACCAAGAAAGAAGGGCGAGGCTAAGCATCTTCATGGGCTGAGGCTCCATCCTTGGCTAGCAGATCGGCAAACCCGTTCGATGCCCTCGAGATATGAGTCCATGATACTGTCATCTCCCTGCATAGGTAGTCAATCTCATAAACAATGAATAAAAGATGCCAGGGTGGGGGCATAGTCCCAAAAGCCCAAGAGATAATGTTTTTTGCATCACCCTCCACCAAGAGGGAACTGCCCCAAAACCGATCGAAACATTGTAGGCCTCTAAGGAGAGCCATAGACACTGCGAACTGGGAGTCTAGCCGACCAAGATATTCAGAGTAGGTGAAGAGAATGTTTTGTTGGTGGTCCCTGAAGACCCCACCAGCCCCAGCATGGCCAGGGTTGCCTAAGGAGCATCCATCAAAACTCAGTTTGATTGAGCCTTGGGGAGGAGGTATCCCAAGGGATTTAACCTTGTTTTTCTTTGGGTTGTGTCTGCGGATGTGCTCCCAGTTGGTGAGGAAAGAGTCTCTGGACATGCCATTGAAAAGGAGGAGTTGGGACGCCCAGAAGGTTACTAAGGAGGTAACCTTGACGAAGAGCACTCTGCCAGGATGGACTGTCCCCCCAAAGATACGGGCATTTCTTTCTTTCCACATCCAAATTGTAGCAGCCACGGTAGCTTTCCAAAGGATCCTGCCAGCCTTGTGCCAGTGATCAACGAAATTTACCGCCAGAAGGTCCTTGACCGTTGAGGGAATCACCCAGTACATCCCAAACAATTGAAGGATGAAACCCCATAATTCGTGTGCCACGTTGCACAACAAAAATAAATGGTTATTTGATTCCTCTTGGGACAAACACATAATGCACCTATTTGGAAGGAAAAAACATTTCCTTTGTAGTTGGTCCACAGTGAGGGCCTTGCTAGAGCCTACTATCCAGTTGAACATTTGCACTTTTGGGGGTACGATTGACCGCATACCTAAGAAAGAATCGAGGTGGGATTGAGAGGAAATGTAGGACGTTGGGTGATAATTTTGTAAAAAGATACCACAGAGAAGTCCCTAGAAGGAGTCGGGGACCACACAAACTTGTCCCTTCCTTGAGGAGGGATAAAGGTCTTAAAGAGTAAGGATGAGAGAGAGGAAATGAGAGGTTTCGAGCTCAGACAGGCCCCTTTTAAAGTAGGGGCTCCAACGCCGTGTACCTCTTTCCATCAAGAACTCGTCCTCTACAGAAGCCTCTCTATTCCTTGCCAGGAGGAACAATTCTGGATAGCAATCTTTTAGCAGGGCCTCGCCTATCCAAAGATCAGTCCAGAAGTGTAATCTATTGCCTACTCTTGGGTGAAGTCTGACACAGTGTTTTAAAATGCGGCCGCATCATGCTGGATGCGCTCGCATCCGCATCAGAAACAAGCGCATATGCGCTTTTGACAGATGCAGCCGCATATGAACCTCATCAGGCCACATCGTAGCCGCATCCCACATAGGCCGCATCGCACTGCATCCCACTGCTACAGGAATTTTTTTTTTGTTTTGCCCCTCGGGGATGGTCAAAATGGTCTTTTTGACCATCCAAATATTATGGAAACTGTTTGGGGGGTACTAGGGGCCCTAAACGAAGATTTTCAGCCACTTTTGTGGCTTTTTTGGCATCAAATTGAGGTAAAAAAAAATTTAGGTGGAATTTTGTTTTTCATCGAAATCTTTGATTTGGCGGTTGTTTGATACTTGGATGTTCATTGGATGCCTTTGATTGTTGATTTGGAGATGTTAGGGTGAATTTGTGATAAAAAATCGGGGGTTGAGGTCGTAAAGAAATCGAGCAGTACTTCACAGAGTCGGAAAATTTTTTTTCCTTCTTGTACAATAATACAATATTACTATTATACATATTTTTGGGGCAATGTCTTCGTTCCAATCTTCTAGTAATAAGGACTCGGCTTGGAAATATGCTAAACTAAAAAATCCCAAAGATAGAGATTGTGTGATATGCTTGCTCTGTGGAAATACTTATATGAGTGGATAACTGGATACAGAATCTCCGATAGCTAATAGTTTTGAAGTTAATCATTAAACTAAATAACCTACTATCACATATATCACCTTCATATTTTTTCTATGCATTAACTTATTTTTAAAAAAAATTTAGAATTTTTTTACATTTATTGACCGCATCATCGTGATGCATCCGCATCCGGGCCGCATCGAGCCGCATCGGCCCCCCACCGCATCAGGGCCGCATCCCGCATTTTAAAAAACTAAACTGGACCCTGACATGTTTCCTGAATAACTCAAGTGAGGTGGACAGGGATCTCCGGACCCCTGAAGCATTAGACTAAGCTTTGGTAGCAGGTATCAATATCATGAGCAGGGACGTTATATTTATGGCGAAGGACCTGCGCCCATAGAGATTCCGGCTGTATAGCGAAGTGCCACCACCATTTCCCTAAAAACGCGAGGTTGTCTCCTAAGGTTCCTAATACCCAAGCCCCCCTGTTTCTTGGGTAAGAGAACGGTATTCTAGGAGATGAGATGAAACTTGGTTTTCTCTGCTTGGCTAGACTAGAGAAAGTTTCGCATAAGTTGTTCCACTCTACTTGCCACCGAAGCCGGTACTTGGAATAGCGACATCATGTAAACTGGGGCATTTGATAAGGTGGTCTTACTTGCTTGGGATAGATATCTACCCTTCCAACCAGCTAGCCTTCTATCCACCTCGTCAACAACGTGGGACCAGTGACACTTCTTTAGTTTACCAAGACCAAGGGGGAGACCTAAGTAAGAGGTAGGGAGATCCTCCACTTTACAATCCAATCGAGGGATGATGTCTCTGATGTTTCGGTGGAGATGGCAACTCCCATCATTTTTTATTTCTCCATGTGCACCTTAAAGCCAGTGGCCAACTGGAAGCATTTGAGGAATATTCTGAGGTTATCCACCTCAGAGGGTGCAGCATCGAGAAACACTAAAGTGTCATCTGCATATTGCAGGTGTGACTAGTAGGCCCCCTCCTAGATGGCTGGAAACCTGTGTGACTCTAAATGTTAAAATAACAGGACAAAAGAAAGAAGAGTTACAAGAAATTAAGTATTAATTAAGCAACATAATTACTACCGTTGGAGATACAACAAACCCACCTCAAGCTAGAGGTTGACAACAAAAGAAGGTAAGTGAACATTATTACTACTCATACGCAAGTGAGGTATCAGAGATGCTAACAGTTTCTTTCTCCTTTACCATAATAATGTGCAGATGCATCTAATAGTGTGTTATTTTAAAGTTCATTGTCCATGCTTTGGAGACCTTATGAAAGCCCGCATTTAAGTATTTACAAATTTGAAGGTTAATGGAACCAGTTACAACATTGGCGGCATTATTTTTCTTTGTAAGACTACCAGGCTCAAAAATCAACACTAAATAATGATGAGCACCTGCAAAACAAAATTTCATCAGCATAATACGCAATCTGGAGAGTTTGTATAATAACATCAAATGTTGAAAGACAGCATTGGCACAAACCTGGCTTTTAAGGTATGGATGGAGGGTTACAACAAATTTTGATGGATCCGAGGGTGGTACACAGAGTGTTGGATCCACAACACAAAACGCATGCAAGGCCAGAACATAAGGGAGTGCACGAACCTCCAAATCCTCACTATCTGTTTCTTCTGCCTGAGAAAAACAAGATAAACAGCTTAGAAAGTTACACAAAAAAACAAATTGATAGTTTTGAATGCCACACCTGCAAGATCCTTTCAAGTAAGCACTTGCACATCAGTTCGCAGCGTTTTCGTACAGTCGCCAAAGCCACTGCATTGATTCCAGTAGCTTTAGCCGATTGAGGAAGGAAGTCAAGTGCCAAGTTCCTCTTTATTACAGTAACAAGTGGTTGATGATTTGGCATTTTACTCATCATCCCAACTATTTGTTCTGTTTTCTTGGCAATTTCCAACGGTACAGAACTACCATCTGCTACAAATTGAGTCTGGACACCAGAAGGCTCTTCAAACCATAATTCATAGAATGTTCTGGAAACAAGGTCCTGGCAAGTGCAAATGGAAAATCTCTAAAGAGAACTGAAGCTTAATATTCCAATATGACCAAGAGCATTTCTTGACTAAGAAATCCTTTATGCGAATTTCAGGTACGAAAGGAAATCAAGATAATATATTTCAGAACTGCCTTACCACAGTAATGCAACATTCTAGTGTACAAATAAAAAGTACCATAATTGAAAGTCCACATATCTAGAAATTTCATAGTTGACAAACTTTAGGGAAAAAACACTAAGCTCAAGGGCCATGAAATCAACTTTACAGATCAAAATGATATATAGGAGAGCAGTATTATCTGATGAATTATACCTTCCCAACAACATTCAAATATTACTTTATGTTCAGATAGCCTAAACCAGAAACACAGACACCAGTAGTGACAGTATATAATTATATGAACAGCATAACCCAAGCATTCTCCAAATTCTAGAATAAATAGAACAGCATAACCCAAGTATTCTCTAAATTCTAGAATATATTAAAACTTCAGGTGAATAAACACAACATAAAGAAAAAAGAGCTCTTATACAAGGAAACTAATGTAGAAACCAAAATGGACCCCAATAATGAGAGGCCCAAGAACAGTAGCAACACCTTTTGTATGCCTCCAAAAAATTAAAATGAAGTTTGCTTTTAAAGATATCATTCCATGAAAGAGTGAGCAAGCCATAAAATACATTCCTTCTGGCCAAGCTCATGATAAGTCTTTGACATATCCAACATAAAAGAAAGAAATTATATGATATATATAACACATTTTATGAAATCAATCATATATTTCTCATTTTTCCTGCATCACAGAATTTTGTATTGTTTTTTCCTTTTTGGATCTAAATCTTATTTAGCTTTTACATACTTTTTTCGAAAAGGTTAACGGTTCTATTCTATTAAGAGAGAAGTACAATCGATAAAAAATGACACTTCCCACAAGCCGGGAGCTCTATACAAAAAATAAGCATCCCCAAGGAGTCTGTACAAAAGTATAAAGTCCACCCCTAAAGGGGAGCCCTGCACAAAAATCACCAGTTAGGTGAGGGGAGGCAAAATTGGTAAAAAAAAAGGGTCCCATAGTAAGGGCTACAATAGAAGGGAAGGGTTAGTTTGTGCCATAGACACAGCTTCCTCAGTGGGCTTCCTTATTTACTTTGCACCAAATATGCCTCCAACAAACGTCCATACCACTGCAAATGTGCCCAATTTCATCAAAGATGTAAGCAATGGCCAAGGCCCAAAGGCCCAACGTATAATTCTAGGAGTCCCCCTCTACACTAACGAAGATCTCCACATGGGATTAAACTGTCTAATGCCCTCAAGGAGAGGAAGGGCCTCTGCCGTATTGGAATCCGCATGCCTAATGTTCTTGGAAAAGGAGGCAAGAATATGGCCCCCATGGTCCTTGACTAGTCCACCTATTCATGAGGGGACAGGATTGCCCAAGGAGCAACCATCAAAGTTCAGTTTAGTTTGCCTAGGAGTAGGTGGTCTCCAATGGGAGGCATGGGGGATGCTGGCTTGTCTTGAAAAGAGTATGGCTTCCCAATCTTAAAAGAAAACCAAGAGGGGGAGTCCTTTGAACAATTTGTAATTGGTTGCCCAGAAGATAACCAGGGACCTAATCTTGTCAATCAATAATGCCAGCGATGACCTTTCTCCGTGGAAAATCCTGTTGTTTTGATCATTCCATAAGATCCAGCGAGCAGCCGCCACCGATGTCTTCCATAAGAGAATGCCAGCTTTGGGCTGGAGGAATGGGTGGAGAGAGCTAAAGACGAGTGGGATGGACTTCAGTGTGACCCATTGCCACTTGAAGAGCTAGAGGAGGGCTCCCCAAATCTCATGGGAAAGGGGGCAAAGAAGAAAGAGGTAGGTGTTGCTTTCTTCATCACCATAGCACATCACACACCTATTGGGAATGGGCAGTCTCCTCTTTGGACAGGGCCAACCAATTAAAAACTTGAATTTTTGGTGGGGCAGATGCTTGGCTACAATGGATGGGAGGATAGGGGAAAGATTGGCGGTTGTAGGAGTTTATTGTAAAAGGAAGAGACCGGAAAAACCTTTTAGGGGCCTGAGATTCAGATGATAAGGCCACTACCCTGAAGGGCGAGGAAAGTAGTACGAAGGGTAGCCGCAATGTAAAGGAAGGTATCTGTCTCAGAATCATTAAGCAGTCTCCTAGAGGTTGGGTTCCAACTTCTTGAGGAGCCTGAGATGGTCTTTTCGTCGGCCACAGACGCCGATTGGTCCCAGGCCAGGCTATGGAGGGACGGGTAAAGGTCTTTGAGGGGGGAATGGCCAATCCATAGGTCGGACCAAACGCTAATTTGACAACCATCCCTATGGTGGAAACGGATGAGGTTTTTGAATAAGTTAAAGGAAGAAAGAATAGATTCCCAGGCTCTCTAAGATCTGTTGTTGGCCCTGCAATCTGGTACCTACGAGGAAGGATCGAGGTGATATTTTTGTTGGAGGACCTGCGTCCATTGTTGGTCTCCTTGGGTAGCAAGACACTAGATGCCACCACCATTTTCTAAGTAGGCTTGTAGTATGCTTCCTTAGATTCTAGGCGCCAAGACCATCGAGATGCTTTGGCTGACACACGTTATCCTACAAGACAAGATGGAACTTGTGTGCAATAGCCTCACCAGACCAAAAAATCTTTGCATAAGCTGGTCAAGGCGATTGTTCATTGCTGTGGGCATATGAAAGACCAACATTTGGTATACATGGATATTGGCAAGGGTGGCCTCAATGAGAGTGAGCCTTCCAGCCAAAGAAGGAAACACCCCTTCCAACCAGCTAGTATGCGGTCTACCTTGTCAATAATGTGGGACCACAATCTCCTCTTGGATTTGCCAATGCAAAGGGGCAAGCCCAAGTAGTTTGACAACAAAGATTCTGCCTGGCAGACCCAGCTATCTGCAAAGACCGGAGTGGCTTGGAGGTCCAAAGCTACGCTGATCATTTTTTATTTGGTTGGGGGGACCCTGAATACCGGGGAAAATTCAAAATATTTGAGAAAGAGGAGGTTGTCTAGTTCCTATTGGGAAGCTCCACAAAAGACAAGTGTGCCGTTGGCATATTGAAGGTGGGTGATGACTGGGCCCCGAGGCCCACTCTTGAAGCCGTGCAGACGCCTTGAAAGGAACATGCAAAAAATGAATTAGCTGAATACCTCGGCAATAATAGCAAATAGGAAGGGGGAGAGGGGCTCTCCCTGTCTAAGGAACCTAGAAGAGGCGAAGAAACCTTTTGGGGATCCATTCATAAGAACGTAAAAAAGGGGGCAAGAATAGCATCCTTTCATCCAGGCCCTCTAATGATCCCCGACATAGTTGCTGGGAACGGGAACATGAGGAGTTCCATGACCGAGAATGGAAGCGCGAAGTGAATCTATCTCGAAGTACCCTAGATGGCGGAGCGAGCTCCGTAAATGATCCGGGGACGGGAACGAGTTCCATGACTTCTAGGGAGCGCAATTTTATATGGACGGGAGTGGGTTCCCTACCATAGGAGATCGTGTTGTACTGTTCTTAGGATTGGGGTTTCCGTAGTTCGCTATTTCAAGTATATTGCAAACTGGGAGCGAGTTCCATTTTTTGGTATGTTAATAATGGACTCTTGGGTAGATAGAGAGGGTGGGCAAGAGAGCGAGGTGAATGGATAGAGGGGGTGGGCAAGAGAGCGAGGTGAATGCATAGAGGAGTGAAGTACTATGGGTTATGCATCTTTTCTACCAAGCTTGTGCTCTAATCAACCCTAGTGCCCAAGAATGTGATCTCAAACATGAAGATGAAGCTATGGTTGCATTTTTTTTTCTTTTTCCCTTCCTTCGCCTATAGGATTAAAGTGCTTAACTTTAGAAGATTGACAAGAAAAGTCATTGAGTCTTTAAGATGGTGTGATTTCTTAGTGTTCGGGGCTGCAGGTCCTTTAACATTATTTGGATTCATTTTCTTTACACACAAACAATATAAATGCCACGACCAATGGCCATCCACCCACTGTCACCCTTTCATATCTCACTCGAGCTGATAAACGTCCACATAACGATGGTACACAGACACAACATGATCGGTACAGTATTACAATACAATCAATTATACTTTACAATGTGCAACCCATTCCGACTATACTCGGACACTTGTACATGTTATTACCTTATTTTGTTAGTAATGCACAATTAACCGATTGTGCAACACATCAACAGATTGTGTAACACGTCCTTTTTACTATAATGAAGTGTATTGATCGTGTCCTCACTTCACAATAAAATTGCAATAGGGCTAACTTTTGAACCTCCTTCCAATCTTGTCCCTACTATAGTTGCCTTAATTAAAATTGGACACAAATGTCACTACAAAATGCGTGTGTCGTACAAAATTTGAGGAAAACTGAATATTATACACAAATAAAATAAAATTTATAGATGCATCTCACTCCTATGTATATGATAATCGGTTCTTGGAATGATGGAATTGTGGTTCCGAATAATATTGGGGCCATGATCTTGGGCATGGGGATTTGGATCCCGCTGGCTAGGGACCTCGTTCCCAAATAATAGGAATCGAGTTCCCATAACTCCGGATACAAAATTCCGCGGCGGAAGCAGACCCCTACATGGGCGCTTCCGGTAACTATGATCCCTGAACCCCATCCTTGAGAGGGTCTCATCTAGAATAACCCAATCAACGTGGTCGTAGGCTATCTCCCAATCTAGTTTGATGACCAAGTCGGGTATCTTCATGAGATGCCTAGAGTGGATGTATTCGTGAGCCACTAGCATGCCGTCGAGTATTAGTGGTCTTTAACAAAAGCTCCTTGGGATGGGGAGATTAGTGGAGGTATTCATGAGTCATTGGCACGCCGTCGAGTATTAGTGGTCTTTAACAAAAGCTCCTTGGGATCTTGGGCATGGGGATCCAGATCCCGCTGGCGAGGGACCTCGTTCCCATGGCTGGAAGCAGACCCCTATGTGGGAGCTCCCGGTAACTATGATCCCCAAACCTCATCCTTGAGAAAGTCCCATCTAGGAAAACCCAGTTGACGTCGTCGTAGGCTTTCTCCCAATCTAGTTTGATGACCAAGTCAGGTGTCTTCATGAGATTCCTATAGTGGCTCCATTCGTGAGCCACTAGCATGCCGTCGAGTATTAGTGGTCTTTAACAAAAGCTCCTTGAAGTGGAGAGATTACCTGGGGGAGGACCTCCCTAAGACAGGTGGCTAGAACTTTGGATATAATTATGAAAGTTGAATTGATGAGGCTGGTGGGGCAGAAGTCCTTCAGTTCATCTGCTCCTCCTACTTTGAGTACCAAAGTAATGAAGGTGGCATTCATTGCTTTGTGAATGATGTCTCTGGTGTGGAAATCCTCAAAAAAGGAGAGGAAGTCATTGCGGGAGGATTCCCAGAAAGATTTAAAAGGAGCGATGAGGAAGCCGTTAGGGCCAGTGGTTCGATCTGAGACAAGGTTGTTGATGGCTGAAAAGAATTTCCTCTTTAGAGAAGCCTCTCCAACCAAGAGGCCAGGTCATGGGAGAGCGTGAGAAAGGAGATGTCTTCCATCCTAGGTCTGGGGCCAGAGGGAGCAAATAAAAGCTGTTTAAAATAGGTGATGATGGCGTCCTCAACCTCAGCTGGTTGGTTGAGAACCCGGTTACCAACTTTGAAATGGGTAATGGTATTGTCCATGGGCTTACAATTTGCTATTTTGTGAAAAAAAGATGTGTTGAGATCCCCAAAGTGAAGCCACTTCACCCTAGGCCTTTGGAACAAAAAAATTACTTCTTTTTTGAGTAAAAGTTGGTAATCAAGCTTAAGTTGAGACCTTTGTTGTTGCTTAGAAGAGGAAAGAGGCCTTGTTTCTTTAGTGAGGTCGAGGCTCTAAATAGACTAGAGTATCAATGCTTTTTGCGTTTGGAAGGATCAAGGAAGGTGACGGCCCCACTCCTTAGGGGATAGCTTGAGTAACTGGAGTTTATGCTGCAACCTGAAACCGGCCCTTCCTACAACCAATGGGGAGAGGGAGTTCCACAGAAGGGGATGAGGGAGTTGCGGTGAAGTTCTTCTAACCAAGACAGTTCAACCCAAAAGAGTTTTGGTCCCCTGGAAGCCGGTTTGGTAATTGGTATCTAAGATGATAAGGCAACGGTCAGAGGCGGGTTTTAGTAAGGAACAAGCATTGGATCCAGGAAAACAAAAATCCCAATCGAGATTAAATAGAAAATGATCAAGTTTAGAAAGGGAGGGGGTGGAGGAATGATTCGACCAAGTAAACTGGGCTCCTTGGAGTGGGATGTCCATAAGGTCATTTTAGAGATACAATTGGAAAAATCAAGCAAGCCTTGAGAAATACAAGAGTTGGAATTTCGCTCAAAAAGACTAGGGGGTGACATTGAAATCGCCACCCAAAACACCAAGCGTGGTGCGGGAGAGAAGCGACGAGGTCTAGTTCATCCCAGAGTTGGTGTCTAATAGATTCAGAGTTGGGGCCGTAAATCACCATGAACTTCCATTGGAGCCCATAGGGAATTCTCGAGAGCATCATAATTATCGAGAAGGTGGCAATATGGGCGGAGCTAAGGACGTGGACAATAGGGTCCCAAACCACCCATATGCCGCACGACACCTCAATCGTAGGCAGCGCTTCCCATTAGCACGTTTGCAGCCCCAAACTTGTCTAATGAGTTGGAGAGGCAGAGAAGTGAGCTTGGTTTTAGTTAAAGCTAGAATGGCAAGACGAGGCTTGAGGTAGAGGTCCTAAACAACGTTTCGTTTGTTGGGGTGCCCCAACCTCTCACATTCCAAGAGAGGATGATCATGATGAGGGTCTGAGATGGGAGACACTCTTGTGGGAGAGTCTACATAGAAAGCCGTTGACTGAGACTGAGGCGGTTGTGGACTAGTTCGGGAGATAAAAGGGGGGCCGACCGATCGTAGTTGATACCAAAAGCTAGGTTAGAAGCTTCTCTCTTTCCTTTGCCGCTTACCCTAAGTCTAGATGGGGCGTCGACCTTGTAAAATGCGTGAAATAGTCCTTCAAGGCCGTCGTAGTGGAAATCCATAACCTTGAGCACCTCACGGATGTTGCCCTAGGCCACGTCCATGTTGTTGACAAAAGAAGAAGCCGCCAAAGTGGGGATGAGGGGGGAAGAGGAGCTGGAGGAAGAAGAGACCCCAGCAAGAGTTTCTGACGTGTGCTCCCCAGTTGTAGGGATAGGGGAGGGAACTGCAAAAGATGGGGGGGATAGGCCGAGTAGAAGAGGATGGAATAAACAGTTGAGGAGGGGGGGGGGGAGGGGTGGAAGGGTGCAGGGAGAGCCACTCGGATTAGAGGTTTTAAGGAGACGGGGGATAGCAGCACAAAGAGAGAGAGAGAGAGAGAGGAGGGAGGGGGGGGGGGTGTGTAGAGGCGGGGTCACGAGGGAGGAGAAGGTAAGGGAGAGGAGGCGGCTTGGGGAGGGGGGTACCATTGAGGAAGGCGAGTGGGGGAGGGGGGTTACCATTGAGGAAGCGGGTGGGGGAGGGGGATTCAGGATAGGGGTGAGTCCATGGGGAGGGAAGAAGCCCAGGGGGAATGGACTAGAAGGGTAACCAAAATAAGGGGGAGAGGATAAACGAGTTGGAAAGGTTAGGATAAAACTAGAGAATAGGGGGGAACGGAGAGGAGGGAGAAGAGTGGGGGCTAGAAACCCAAAATTCTCGACTTGCAAAGTAGGTGGTAAAGCTAGTAGAGGGGGTTGCTGGTTGGAGAAGGCGTCGAAGCGGTCCATCGACGTAGGAGTCACAGAAGAGAGGGGGGGAGGGGGGGAGAGGAGGGAGTCTTCAGCGAACAACGAGCCAGGGCTGAAGAGGGGTCTTCAGGGGAAGAAGCAGAGTCTTCTGGAGGAGAAGAGGGGCGCTGTGTGGAGAGATACCCATTGACTGACGAAGGGAGAGGGTCTGGCAAAGAAAGGTCAACAAGAGGAGGAGAATCCAGGAGGCGGCTAGTTGATTCAAAGGTAGGGATGGGATGGGGGGAGAGGAGCCGAGTCGAATGGGGGACGAGATGGCGTAGAGGAGAGCAGGGGGAGGGCTGGAGAAAGAGGGGAGAGGGGCAGGCAAGAGGGAGAAAGGGAAAGAAAGTCGGTGATGAGGGGGACTGAAGAGGTGCCAACAAAGGCAGCGGGAAGATCTTGAGGAGGACAGAGAGGGGGAAAGGTGGGAGCTGATGGAGGCCGCAATTCGAGTACAGTAACCCCAGGCTGGTCGATCATGAGAAAAGACATGGATACAGCAGGGGGGTGACGTGTAAAGGAAGAGAAGATTCAGTGGACACGTGGCAAGGGGAAAGGAGAAGATTTACGTGGGAGGGAGAGGGAAGGGAGTAGAGAGACAATCACTACAGATTATGTTTACGAGTCAAGTTATTTGATAAACCAAGTGACCTACTCTAGTCATATGTTAAAGGAATCATGTACTGGGCCCTGTCAGCAAACTATGACAAGAACCCCAAGAATCCCAGTTCCACCCAAAGCTTCCTACCCTGGTCCCACCTCTTTCTTGAGAAACAAAAGAGATAAGGTACACCCCAGATCACACCCTCACAAATGGAAAAAAAAGTCCGTAATCATACAGATTTCAAAAGCATCGAATGGACATCAAGAATCAGCATCACTTGTGTTTCTCAAAATTCAAGATAAAAGTTTACAATAGGGCCTACAGTAAACTACACAACTTCAAAACCAGTTCGTGTGGTATACCAATATTTGATGGCCATAGAGCAAACCTGTATGCTAGACTCGTCATCATTGACGCGAGCAATTATCTGAAGGCAAGCATTCGTGGTTTCTGAAAAACTTCCATTAGAAATGCACATGTCTCGGATAATCTTGATAGCACGTTTACGAACACTAACACCAGTATCCATTATTCTCTCAGCAACCTTTACAAAATACTGCAAGTGACAATAACCAAGATTACATTTGATGTCCAGAATCAACTGCATTTTGACAGTAACCAAAGAGAAGTAAAAGCGATATTCAGATACCTTCGCAGCAACATCAGGATGTGATGCGATATGCCTACCAACAAGCTCCATTGCAGCTTCTCTTACAGAGATAGCAGAATCAAGGAACCTTCCTTCAACAGCATTTTGGACATGCTTTTCACCCAAAACCTCTGGATCTGTTTCCACTATTACACTAACCTGCAAGGCCCAAAAATGCCAATCAATCAAAAAGTGAGACTCGCCTATCTTATGGTTTGAAAGTCAAAGCTAAGAAGTAAATGATAGTCTGCTCACCGCGCGTAATGCCTTGGCCCGAATAATTGGAGACTTCTCCCTTAAACTGGCCTAATATCCAATATATAATACATTAATATAAGACCATTTCGAAAATATGACGAAGAAAAGGCTAAGATTTCTAAGAAAGAGTACCAGAAGCAGATCCAAAATTTTATCAAAGCCACGAGCAAAAGAACTATTCCTCCCCAGTGCAAGAGATATCCTTTTAATCGAATCCCTTGGTAGTGATGAAGAAGTGAAACCAAAACCATGCACTGGTCCTTTTGATTTCATTCTTGCAACGTGGTAAACAAATTTCTTCTGGGATCTGGGATCATCTTTGAACCAAAGGCATAGAGAAAACCTGTACATGGCACTAAACAATCAAGCACGTGCAGAATTACATTTGATTATCATAACAATTATTTTTTCCATTTTTTTTTGAAAGGTATAACAAAACATATTTACAAACCATCGGGCAAATAGGTGCATGTCATCGGCAGAACCAGCTTCCGGAAGGTAGTTAAGAAGTATCTGTTGAAGGATATCCACGCCCACAATAGCAGGTAAAGAGTCAGCTGTAGTCCCTGTCCCTCTACTCTTGCTACCATCAATTTCACTTTGTGACTTGCAATATGACTGAAGAAAGACAAGTTGCCTTCTACAGAGGCATAGCTGACACAACCAGGCTCGAGTCGGGGTATCGGCTCCTGTTATTCCAAGGCAATCTCCATGGAAGCATCGATTGCATCCCTGACAAACAATCAAGGAGCTTCCACCTTTCCCATCCAAGCATACAGAACATACATCATTTGGGATATTGGGAACTTCACTTTGTCCATCTACCAACTCCTGTAAAATCCAAAACTTATCTTGCCTACAAAGAACAGCATCTCGTTTCAGTCTTGCAGCGACCATTCCAAGAAGGTCTATAGCCATAGAGCGCGCAGAGACGTCTTTGGATTTTAGGCCAGCATTCTGGAGTAGTAGGACACACAGAACCTGAAAAAACTTAAATTTAAGAAACAAATTGGAATCTGCGCAAGGTCAATCAAATAGTGCAGAATACCATGTACTACCTCGAGTATAAGACCTGAAGCAGGATATTCAGGTAAATTCAATGTTGTTAGTAGGTCTACAACAAGGTTCTCCATAACAATTTTAGCATCAGCTCCTTCTTGACTTTTTACAGCTGTCCAACGCTGAAGAACCTTGCTCCAGAATTGGCAGCATGTCTGAGTCGCAGCTTCATGACATTTTGTAGGGTTGATGGTATCAGAGACATCTGCGATTGCATCACTCGCTAATATTTGGCTGAACGTTTCAGGACGACTGGCACTACGCTGAACCAACTGAATTAACAATGCCGTTACCATTTGAATCTGTTTTTGCTCAACATCAGGTAAATGATAAGCCCTCAGATTGCGCTTCGAGGAGGGTAACTTCCATAGCAGGTGAAATACTTCATCCATTAAAAAAGTCCTATGCTGACTGTATGAAGTAAAAACCTGTATTCAAGTACAATCTATCAACGCAGTTGCTCATGAAATCGCTTAGCTGGGCATCTGAAATAAATTTCTTTATCTAAAACATTACAATAGTATGTCAAATTGCTCAGCACAAGCAGTTATAGAAATACAATTAGATTACAAGATTAGGTGTAGCAGTACCTCACAAATAACACTAATGCACTTTAGTTGCAAGAGCTGAACATTATCTACCAAGAAAGTTGTGAAGCTTGTCTTCACCAGTTGGAGAATGCAGCTATCAGCTAAACGTTCTATCGATAAAAGATGCTTCAAACAACCAAGAATACTACAAAGCTTCTGGAGAACGGCATACACAGCACCAGAGATCCTAAATTAATAGAACAAGTTAGAACTACAATATTTTATTTCCAAAATACCTACAATAATAGAGTAACTTGAGGGTGACAAACTGACTTATTCATTATAGATTTCTTCAGTTTGAAACTTCTATTTCTAGGACGGCTTTTCCTTCCCATTGAAACACCATCCTCCCCTTCATCATCTTCGTTTTCATCTCCTAATCAAGGCGACATGCAGTAATTAGCTACCTCTATTGCACATCCCTGAGAAAAATCCAACTGAATGCGCACAACTAAATGCTCATATTTTTTAAGTTTTAAAATAAACAAACACTCAGTTTATGGGAATGTGACATCACAGAGAAATAAAATCCAATAGCTTCTTATGAGACAAAAACACAATAGGTGACAGTTGGAAATTCGTACAAAAACTGTAAAAGAAAGAAAAACTACAACAGAGTTCCCAACAGAAAACAAGACTCCTTACAAAATCAAGCAAGGATTCCAACAACCACCCTCTGGTCCATGAAGGGCTTTTTAAGTAAACGCACGCGGTGTTAAATTCATGGGACTTAGGAGAAGCACAAAGCATACATGGGACAAGTATGCACTGCAGGGAAATCAGGGGTAGAGACACATGAGATTTGTTTTGCTGCATTGCTCTTTTGATCCTTCTATCTTGTTTGACTATTTGAAAGTGACACTTAGTAACCAATGAAAAGACAATATTTAGTTACTAACAGTCTAATATAACTATAGAAGGACAGGAATGACATTTCTTTTAATTATTTATTACTTGTCCTTTTTGCCAATGCATTTTTGGTACATGAACACGTAAGCTAGAACTAAGATGAGAAATGTACCATTGGCAACATCATCCTCCCTCGGCCTATGCAAAGCACGATAAGATGGATCACAGACATACATGGTCTCCATGATCTGATTCCTTAAGAAGTCTATGATTCTTTCAATAATCTGTAAAGACATCCAGTATGTGTTAGCCAATTCTAAACTCAATTTAAAAACATGAAAGTTCAGACAGAGAAATCAGGGAAAGAAAAAATAATATTCTTATACTAGAACCAAAAATACAACTAAGGGAAAGATAAATAAAATCAACTCAGTGGCATGAGACATGAGATACTTCATACTTCTTCTTTATATAGTTGCTTTGGCATATCTTGGTGAGTCAATATAGCTAGCACGGCATGAGTAGAATCCAAAGCAGAAAGAATGGGTGATATCGTATCAGAATCCTGCAAATATGACAACAAAAAGCTGTATTTCAAACCTAAATGGTAAACATAAGCTTGGGTTTTCAATTCCAGCAGCCACATATGAAACCACAAAGGCAAAAACAGTAGTCAGCTGTAAAGAAATCAAATCGAAAGCAATCAACATATAAGCCTGGAATGGCAAAATATGATCCATTGCTAACAACTGAGAACTAACAATACTTGCATTGCATAACTTTGTGCCCAGTTAGTAAGCCCAAAAGAAACATATAGACAACAACAATAATATTCACGTTTTACAAAAAAAATAATCATACAAGTAATAGCAATGATGATCATCAAAAGAAGTTGATAAGGGAAAATTATCACACATTGCGCAAGAGATGAAATACATAACATCTCACGCATTTTTCTTGGTTTGATTTCAGAGAGTCCAAAGGAACCTCATCATGGGTTATAAATTCTAGGAGGGGAACTTTCCAATGTCGCCCCTCCATAGGGCCAAAGTAGGTTTTAAGAAAACCATTCAGTTGTAGAGAAATATGGCTTTGACATTGGTTGCGAGTACTCTCCTCAAATTGTTGGCAAAAGTGTTCCTGAAAAAAGGATTGGTGTGGCAGATCGCTCATCCACCACGCCAATCAAGATCAACTGGATTGGAGATCCAGCAAAATAAAAAAAGGACACGGTTTCTATGAGTCCATGTAGAAATGAGTCACCTCTTAAAAATGAAAGGTGGACCATGTGACCGGGCAAGTGAATACTATTTAAAATTTTTCTACTCTTTTATATATATTGCTACCCAGATCACTTACAAGTGTTCAAAATACAATTTTTAACTCAATGAAAGAGCCAAGACCTCTCACTTGGATGCCATTAAAAGAAAATTACATTCATCATATAGAACTGAAAATTACAAAAAAGAAGAAAGAGAAACAACAGAAACACGAAATATGAAATATTGCGCACCTTGCCTCAGGTTACCCCCAAAGACTTCGTACACCCCAAAACGGGTCTTCTCCACCGATGGCGCACGTGATCTTGGTTCAAGAACACACCTCACAATTAGGGAAGCTTAGGCAAAAACCCTTAGAGAGAATCACATCGGATTTCCTTGACCAAGGCTCAACACATGAGCATGAGGCGAGGACCTAAGGATAGGGCTTGTGTGGCTTGGGCGTGCCACCACTTAGGGTTAACTCTTTCCTAAACCCTAATTTCGATGAGAGAAGAGAGAGAAGGCTTGAGTGGGGTGTGCCTGCTTTGGTTGCTTTTAGAGAGAGAGAGATACACAGATGATAAAATAGAACCCCCATAGCTAGTATTTATAGACAAAAAACTAGGGATTCTAGGGTTAGGATATTGCTATCATCATGAAGTTTAATCTTAACTTTTGACCTTGGAGACCCATGGGACAAAGAGATCTCAACCATTCATTCCTTAAATCAGCCATTATGATTAAAGGAATGATGTAGAACCTTATCCCTCAGTTTCCATGACTCCATTCCCATCAAATATTTTGTGTAGAGAAAGTATTTAATTCATATTATTTAATATCTTATCCTTTCCTATCTTGGTTCAATTCAATCTCTACACCTTAAGTTTCCAAAAACTTTAAATCATCAGATGCCTTAGAAGGCACATAACAAAATAAGGAAAGTTGTATGGGGTGGGGCGCATCATCCATGTGGTGTCCATGTGGACCCCAAGCCCAACACATTGGTGGGCCCATTGAACCCCATTGAGCCCCCAATATGCTAATATAAATTTTTAGATATTAAAGTTTTTTTGCAACCTCCAAATATTTTATTTTTCTCTTTGATTAAAATAAAACCAGAAAATTGATTTTTCCTTATATAAAAATCATTTTTCAATAAATAAAATACCTAGAGAAGTCTAAAAATTCATTTTAATTACCTATATAATAATTAAAACTTATTTAAACATATTAAAAAGATTTGATGGTAATTGAATCTATAGAGTTAGGATTACGACAAATATATTGAGGACTCTATCCTCTCTAGAGACCGCATCTCACTGCACCTTCTCAAACTGATCCCATGACCCACAATCTATCGTAGGGGTTTATGATTGGACCATCAAAGTCAGCCAATAAGTGGAGAAGACACGATCCTAGACCATGGATTACAAGTTCCTCCTTGAGGACAAGTCCAGGGCTCATTTTAACAGTATGCTCCATGAGTCCTTCCAACACAATCCAATGTTGCAGGGAGTCATCTTCGCAAATGTATACATCACACATCCTTATCCACATGGTTGCTTCCCGGACGACTATCTAGTGTACATACCGTGTGATGGTAATAATGGGGATTTAGGCCCCTGTCCTCTCAGGCCATCATCCATCACGCACAGGGGTCAAATCCATATCCCCTAGCCAACTGTCTTGGGAACATCTCCGACCTCATCTAGGGATGACCCCACATCGAAACCCTTATCGGTGTACTTACACGATGCCCAAGACTACGAGTTTTGGACTTCACATTGAGTCATAGCAGTCAAAACTCATGTGAGTCTAAGGCATTATCAATGCCCTACAGTCCAAGCTGGACCATACGCCCATTGGAATCAATAATTCATTATATATTTTCAGTACATGCTCTCATAAGGGCCTTTAAATGACCAAAAAACCCAAACAAAAATTCTACTTTTAGGATGGATTTTTAGACTTAATTTTTAAGGGCATGTAATCTTTAACAATGGAGATCATGATTATGAAAAACTAAAAAAAAATTAGAAATAATAATTCTATTAAGAAAACATTTGGACCGTTAGTTTCAAATGTTTTTAGATGGACCACCTATTTGCATCCATCTTTAATATGGATGCTTTATATCTTGGGCCCGCATATTGTAGAAATGCGGTCCAACCCGCATGAAACAATTTTCCATTAAAAAAATAAGTAAATAAGGAAATTTATATATATAGTATACAATGTAGGAATTTTAATAAATAACCCATAGAGTTTTATCAGTTAGCCTTAGCTATTAACGACACAAGGTAAGAAGGTCGAATCCATCCCTCTAACTTTTGACACTCAAAATAAATAAATAAATAGAACATGTTATATCACCTATTAAAAGAAAAAAATCTGCAAAGAGGTTTGAACCTCTGATCGCATATGAAATTGTTATTCACGCTAACCGCCAAAGCCATTAAAGTGTTTTGCTATAACTTATATACTTTATAATGTAAACTAGGCGAACAGCTGATTCAGCCCAAGCACTAGAATGTTACTGGGTAATTCCAAATCCGGATTGGCAATTCTTGATCCCGATAGATGATTTTTAAATCACAAGTTGGGAAAAAAATCTTGCTGGTACAAGACAGAGACCTCTCACAAGAGCAGTTAATAAGAAAGATCGACATTTCGAATTATCACCTCAACTCTAGAAAATGCATTCTAACATCAACATCAAAATCTATCCAACAAACCAATCCCAATTTTAGCTCCCCCAAACACGACATATGGCACACGAGCCAATTTTGAATATAGTTGTTGGGAGTAGAAGTGGGTACGGAAGTCTGGGATCAAACCCACGGTTGAAGCTCCCTACCTTGGGAACACCCAGGAGCATTGTACAGGGAGAAGCATCATATACATCTTATATGTATATGGGAGTATAGTTGTTGGAAACGTCATTTTTGAAATCGGAATCGCGTGTATCATTTTTGAAATCGAAATCGCGTGTCTCAGAAGTTTCAGAATCTAGGAATCGTTGTCTGTATGATTCGGATTTGAGAAAAATGATTCTCACTATTTCGGAATCGCGATTCAAAAAATTAAGAATCGTGTTTCCTATTTGCAAGAATCGATGTCCCTTCATGTTAGAATCGCGTTTCATACCTATATGGAATCACACATGACCCCACTTGTTTCAGTGGTTGCTGAAATCGTGATTCCTAAGAATAGGGAATCATGATTCCTAAAATTCTAGAATTATTATCCCCAAAATTTTTTTTTTGGAGAAATGTTGACTTTTGTAGTGCTATAGAGAGGGGAATTACAAAGATGAGATTAACCGAGAGTTCTCTCTAGGCGGGATTCAAGGTAAAATTAGGTCAGCAGACCGTATACAAAAAATTGGGTTATAAGATTACCCCTTTACAACACTTTACAAGCAAATGCCAAAGATAGGGCTTATAAGTGCCCATACACAGTGAAAATTACAGCGCGATATGTACGAAAAGGGAGCCAAAAAATGTTAGGTTGTGATCCACTGGTCCAGTGCAAAAAAGAATGTTGACCCAGTTTGAACAACCTGACCCCGACTTCTAGCACCCTCCTTCGCAAACCGATATGCGAAATCGTTGGACATCCTCCAAGTATGCGGCCATGAGACGTTCATAACCTTGCAAACGTGGTGGACTTCGTCAAAAATTGGGATCAAGTACCATGGAGGATCACTTGTTCGACTAGCTCAAGAGATGACATTTTTTGAGTCACCTTCAACTATCAGGCTTGGGCCCCAATAAGGGTTGAACGTTTTCAAAGTTGGGAGGAGGGCTAAGGCGTCCGCATGGTGAGAGTCCATGAGGCCAAGATATTCAGAGATACTTACGAGTATATATCGCCATCATGGTCTCGAAAAACACCTCCTGCCCCTACTAGGCCAGGGTTCCCCAAGGAACATCCGTCGAAACTTAATTTGATGCAGCCTTGGGTTGGTGGTAACCAGTTACTTGGCCTTCTTACCCCCTGTGGTTGGTGATGAAGGATGTTTCCTCATTGTGTGAGGAAGAACGTCCCTGGAATTCCTGTCAAGAATTTTTGGTTGGAGACCCAAAAGGTAACCATGGTGGTTACCTTTTGCAAAAGCGCCGGGGTTCGAAGTTCAGAGCCTCGGAAAATTCTTGAGTTTCTTTCCAGCCATACTATCCATATAGTAGCAGCTATAGTCGCCTTCCACAGGATTCTTCCTGCCTCAGGCCAGCTTGAGTCAAGATTGTAGGTTAGAAGGGTTTTTACCTTAGGGGGGGACCCATTCTATGCCAAATAATTG